TTTGTTTTTATTTTGATGGTTGCCCATGGTGTAAAAAGACTAAAATTGATGCGGCTGTCTATTGGGCCTAACACTCATAATTTTTATTGAGCTTCATTTTTCTCAAATTACACAAGATTTGGGCTTTAGGGACTGAAATAAAAAGGTTGGAATCAAGAAGGGCTGAAGTAGAAAGGCTGGAGTAAAAAGGGGAGAAAAATGTATTTTCTGAAAAGGAGTTTGACTTTAACCTATATATTTGCCTTTTCTTTGGCTTCTCTGGTGTGAGTGGCGGCTGGAAGAAAGAAAAAGAAAAAGGAAAGTAGGAGATTGTTCAGGGGAAAAGATAGACACAGATCAGAAAACAAAAAAAAAAAAAGAAAAGCTTTCATGGCTGATTTATTCTATTTCTTTAGGAGGTTTTTGTTGTCCATTATATTTATGGGTAACTAAATTCTCAAGTAAGGCGAGGGATAAACTTGCACAGTAAATGATATTTTATTTATTTTTAATTTATGCAGTTGATTTTTAATTACTAAAACTCTTTTGTTTTATCATTCTCAATTTATTGTTGATGTTTTTTTCTCTGAATAATCATAAAATTTATTCTGTTTATGGATTCAGTCATACTTTTTCTATTGAATGGATTAGCTCTTTGATTATGTTTGGACCAATTATTTATCTATATTGATTTAATTATTTGCTACAATATTACTTCCTGAGTATATTGTCGTCGTTAGATTTTTTCAATAGTGATAATAATTTACGTATTTTAAAAGTGTTGAATAATTTTTCAAAGGGTTACACTGGGTTTAATCTTGATTTATAAATCTATATCTTTCGGTTGGAAATTTTGGGAATTAAATTCTCAATTGAGTTATTCAATGAATTAAGAATAATTAAAATACCAGATTTGTGAAAGGGATTCCTAACGCTTTGCTGTTTGTCAAATTTGAATACTTTTTTCGTTAGTCACTTTGCGTCACTTTAATTTGCATTTAAAATTAATCTTTATTATCCAGTAATCATTTAATATTTTTCTTTAGTTTTTTTGTTCATTCTATTATTCTTTTAATTTGTCTCTCTGTAGAATCGACATCCCAAAGCTGTGCTACAATTATCACATTATTCTTTGGGTGTAATCAGTACCAATGCTTCTGTAAAGGAGTCAAAGACTCTGGATTAAATTAAACTCTTTTATATGGTTCTTGATGTATATGAATTTCAGCTATATGGACTATTGTTAGAGACTTCATTCAAAGCACCTAATTTGTTGGTGTGTTAAGTTCACATCAATGACTTTTGCCGGTGGAGGCAAAGACTCCGTGAAATTTGGTTGAGGAGTAAAAGACTCTAGATTTTTTTTACGGAGTTAGAAACTCCATTAATTTATGGCTTAAAAAAAATTTAGGAACTCTTTCACATTGTTTTAGAGAAACCAAGACTTGACAAAAGAAGACTCTTAGGAGGGTAAAGAGGGGTTGAAAACTCCAGCTTGGAATCAAAGACTCTAAATTTTTTTGGAAGTTGGAAATTCTAAATTTCACGGGAGGCGAAGGCTCTGTGAAATTTGGTTGAAGAGTAAAAGACTCCAAATTTTTTTAAGGAGTTAGAAACTCCAAAATTTTTAGGAGTTAGAAACTCCATTAATTTATGGCTTAAAAAAATTTAGGAACTCTTTCACATTGTTTTAGAGAAACCAAGGCTTGAGAAAAGAGGACTCTTAGGAATGGGTAAAGAGGAGTTGAAAACTCCAGCTTGGAGTCAAAGACTCTAATTTTTTTTTGAAGTTGGAAACTCCAATTTAGAGTTAAAGAGTATGTTTTGATTTCGCCCTTCTTTAGTGGTCTTTGAAAGACCCAAGAAGCAATTTTGGATGGATCTTTGAAAGACCAAAAGTTACTACCATTTTCTTTTCACATTGGCTGGAACAAAGGCTCTTATATGAGTGCATTCACTCCAGTGACTTTTTTAAAGGGTAGTCGATGAATCCTTAGCTTGATAAAAGAGTTGAAGACTCTTGATGGCTCTAAGACTCGTTTAAAACTGATGAAATATTTTTTTCTTATGTAGCAAACTTCAAGAGTTAGAAACTCCCACGATTTGACTTCTGAAGTAGTTTGTGATCACTGGAATAGATTAAAATGAAAGAGTTTGAGACAAGGACTCAAAAGGACAGTAGGTGTCAACGAAAACATCAGAAATTGAAAGAGTCCAAGACTCTTGTTGATCCCCCCACCCTTCTTGATTTTCTTATGTTGCTGATGTTTTGGGATGCTTTGGCTTTAAACCCCATTTGCTGCAACCAAAATACAAGACATTAAATCCAAGGGAAATGGAGAGTATACCGAATTTTACTTGATCAAATTTTTTTTTTGGTGATGTAAGCGCTTGGTTTCTCTCCTAAAAAATATCTTTTTTTTCCCCTTTCTTTTCTTTCTATTTTGTTAATCGTTCTCCTCTCTTTCTCTATCAGTTACCTATTGCCAAAAACTCTCCTTAACTATCCAAGCTCTATGCACTTATAGGGAACTTCTTTGGAAGTTATTAAAATGAGTGGGTGTAGGTGGCTTCTAATTGGGGTGGACAACTAGAAGCACTTCCCACACTACTAGAAAACTTCTAGTTTGTAGGTGGGTCTTATATCCAATCCTGGATTTATCTAGTGAGATAAATATTAGTATTACTTTTTGATTTAATTTTTTGTTTGATTTCATGTGTGATGTATGAATTTTTTTTTGGTGTTTTTGTATTCTGTCAAGCTTCATTGTTTTTGATTTAGGATTTATATATGTGTGTCTGTGTGTGTATGTATTTATACAAGTTTGCAATAAGAAGGAAAAATGAAGCATTATAAATTTTATGTTGATTACTTATAATTGTGCATATAATTATTCTTATAGGTATACTCAACAAATTTTTTTAATTCAGTTTGTGTCAATTCAAAGAGAAGTTAATTTTGTGGCCCACATTATAGCAACACAAGCTACTGCTCCTTATGTTAATCTAATGGTGATTCTTTTGACAGAAATTAGAAAGGTTTGAATAATGTATAGATAGAGAAAGTGATGTACTCATCTTATTTATCAATCCATATTGAAAAAGTTCGTTTGCGTAGGGTGTATGGGAGAAGATGGTGATTGAAACCCTAGTTATATGAAGATAGAAGAAGATTTGTTATTATAGAGGTGCATATAACATGAGATGAATTTAGTGAAAAATGGATGGGGTATAGAATGGGTGAATTTAGTAGTTTGATAAAAAAAAAATTTAATGGGGTGAGAATATATATTTTTTGGGGTGGGAATAGCCCCACCCTTTGGGATATAAGATCATTTCCAATGGTGACCTAAACCCTTACCCAAATTTGAGTAAAAAAAAGTAAAAAATTTAATTTTGTATACACCTCTCCAATGGAGAAATCAAAAATTAAAGGAAGAGAAATCCAAATTTAAATAAGGATAAACTTAAATTTAAATGAGTTAAATATGACTATGAGATCTTTAAAGGAATGTTTAATCTCATTATTAGTGAAAAGGGTAAGAATTTGAGTCGCCCTTAATTTGGGTTTAAAAAATGGTTTCTCTTCATTTGATATGGGTATGAGTCTGACATTCGAGAAAGTTTTAAGAGTTTTTTTTACCCTTTTTTGTAAGAGTTGGAGATGCTCTAAGGGCATCTCTAATATTGACCAAAATTCAAAATAAAATGAGTAAAAAATTGAGTAAAAAGCTTGATTTAGTATAAACTTTTTTAATGAACAAACTCAAATTTAAAGTAGCAAAATTTGACCATTGGATCTTTTAAAATAGTAAAATCTAACCATTGAAAATTTGAACAAATATTTGAATTTGTCTTAATTTGAGTCTCTCTTCATTTAATATATGTTTCAGTTAAAGACTAATGCTTGTTTTTAGTCTATTTTTACTCAAATTTAAATTTGAGTAAGAATTTAAACAAGGAATGGAGATGACCTAACAGGTTGATAAGATAGAAGATATTATATCTATTACGGTTTGACCTCTTGTTTTAGTTTTTGATTTTATTCCAATAACTAGTAGAATAGTATACTAATTATGACTTTTATTTTTATTTTATTTCAATAAATGATATAATAAAACATGAATTTTAGTTGTAAAATTTAAAATATTTGATATTCTATTTTTAATTGAAATATTTTTTGTCTAATGATAATATTTTAAATTTGATTAGTCTAAATATTTAATGTCTAAAAGTTTCTGGTGTCTAAGTATAATTTACTAACGAAAAGACAAACAAACATTAACGTTAGGAATTTAAGTGTTACACCGTATAGAATTTGTATATAATATTTCAAATGTTGATAAAGTTTAGAGAATGTCAGTGTGATTCTCCCCTATTTTTAAGATGGACACTTCAATTTACTTTAATATCCTTAGTTGACAACTCAAAGTGACCGAATTCATTTTAGTGACATGCTTTTTTTTTACGGGGGCAACAACGACCGTTCCCGAACCGCCGTAGTACAAAGGTTAAATATGTCACTACGACCACAAAGCATAACACGTGTGGTTTATAGGTCAAATACTCAAATAAATCCGATCCGGACACGTGTCCGCACTGTTCAAGCCAGCAAGACAACAGAGGGCAGAGATCATTTGAGAAGAAGCACAGAGGAAACACAAAGCCAGGCTAAACCAAAGGGAAAACCGAGGAAGGACTGAGGGACTAGAGAGAGAGAGCACAAGGATCGATGACGTGGCAAAAGAATTTTGAAATCCCGCCCAAACCCGGACTTCAATTCGTTCTGTGATTCAATTTTAGTTTTCCAAACCCCTTCTTATCTCTCCCATTCGCACCTTACCACACAACACTACGCCAAAGCAAAGCATATCTCTTATTCCCTCTCTCCGTCTCTTCATTTTCTCTCCGTCTTCTATTACCCTAGAGGTGAGCGCCGCTAACTCGACCGAGTCGTATCGGTTTTGAACGATTCTCGACCGATTCTCAATTGTTTTCATCGTTTTCTCGCAGGATTCGCCATGAAAGGAGGCAGATCGAAGACCGAAACAAAGAAAGCTGATAGCAAGTGCGTTTTAATTGTATTTTCGCATTTAAGAATTTTTTTAATCATGATACTGTTTAAGATCTATGATCTGCTTTGCTTGTGTTTTTGATGTTTAATCGTTTTGAATCGACGATTAGCACTGTTTTTTGTTTTACTTGTGATTTTTTAGGCTCTCTGTGAAGAAAAGAGGTGCCGCTGCGGGAAGCAAACAAACGACGAAGAAGGCGAAGCCGGCTAAGGATCCTAATAAGCCAAAGAGGCCTGCTAGTGCCTTTTTTGTTTTCATGTACATACTTTTATCCGTGCTTTTCTGTTTTTCCCTTTTTGTTTTGGATTGTTCTATTTAATTTTTTTATTATATCGATAATATATGTGTGTGGGTTTTTGATTTTAGCTCTAAAATTTCTGATATGCTGTTGTCATTTGACGAATAAAGGGAGGAGTTCAGGAAGCAGTTCAAAGAAAAGCATCCTAATAACAAATCTGTCTCCGTCGTAAGTTTTTTTTTTCTTTTTTATGTCTCAATCTTAAACATTCGTGAACTTTTTGGGTTTGAAAATTTTTAGATTTGATTTCTTCTCTTTTTTGTATTTAAGATGGTATTAATTTCTGATTTGATATGGATCAGGTCGGTAAAGCTGGCGGGGACAAGTGGAAATCAATGTCAGAAGCTGTGAGTATTTCCATAGAAGCAAAATGATTAAATTTCGTATGTTTGATTATTGATTCTTGTATGCAGGGTTTAACTAGGATAATAAGGTTAACTAGGATAATAAAGTTTTTATTGATTCTTATGTGTAGGGTTAACTAGGATAAAGTTTTGTTCTTATTAGTTGTGATGATTGCTTTTTGCATGATATTAGGAGAAAGCTCCTTATGCAGCAAAGGCAGAGAAAAGGAAGGCCGAGTATGAGAAGAACATGCGGGCTTACAACAAGAAAATTGTAAGTCTCTTGAAAATTAAGCTGGAAATTTTCACAACCATTATTATTTTTCCCGGGTTTTTACACATTTCCCATTATTATTGTTTGTTGATAGGCTGATGGAGGAAACGCATCTGGTGAGGACGAATCTGAAAAGTCAAGGTCTGAAGTGAACGATGATGATGATGAGGATGATGAGGAGGGCAGTGGAGAGGTTTTAAACATTAATAATTTTCAATTAACCTTTAAGATGCCATTAAATGAATTTATTGTTTAGTAGATATGAGGACATTATTTTTTTCTCCTTGCAGGAAGAGGATGATGACGAGTAAAGGAATGACAGGGATGGAGTAATTGTGGGGTGGTTTGTGTATGATCTTTAGAACATGATGACTATCCCATGTGGCTTAGGGGCTATCCTTGATAAATAGCTGCCCTTTTTTGTTTTTTTTTTTTGGGTAGGTGAAAGAATGAAATTAGTTTCAGGAGATGCCTGAAGCTTACATGTTTATGTTCTTGATATCTCATCATTATTATGTTTTATGATAATTCAGCTAGGATTTCATTTACTTTCTATATACTATTATCTCTGATGCCTTTGTTGATGGTAATTGCACTTCATCTTGTCCTTGTGGTTTCATTTTCTCTTGATGTACTATTATCGCTGATGCCTTTGTTGATGGTATCATCTTTATGTGGAGACTTGTGATAGGCTGTGGATTGGTTTCCCATTCGGTGGACCTTTTTATTTTGTGTGCGCCTTTGTACAAGTGTTGACAAATATCTTTTTCTTTGTTTTTGTTCTGCAAGTAATATTCATTGCTGTGTTTAGAAACAATATAAAATGTTTCCTTTATGTTATGATTTTGTTGTATGTGATCCGTTGTCCTGTCCATTTGTCAGAATACTAGTCTGTATTGGAAGTTTGAAACTTTAAATCCTTGATTAATATTGTGCATGTTGATTATCAATTGCAAATATTTTGCAGTGTGCATCATTGTTACGAAATTCATACTTTGTTGATGTGTTGGGACAAGAAGTGTACTTCAAAATTATCAGAAGTTGGGCAAGAGTGTTAGGTTTCTGTCCTAGTGAGGTTTGGTTATTACTTTCTTAGGCATTGTAAGAAGCTTGATTTGAACAGGTTTTTAATTCATTTTTTGGTTTAGTGTTGATGTTTTCACTGGTCACCTCAATTACCTGACATGTAATAAACTCCAATGGTTTGGACAATCCCAAGTAAAATTCTATGTTGTAATTGTACATGATTATTTTGAGGTATCCGTCTGTCCGTTCTTCCTCAAAACATCTTCTGCTCGTGGAATAATTTTTTTTCTGATTATTTTTTTGGCTAGTCATTTCAGGATCTGGTCTGTGATTAGGTGGCCAATTATCTTGGCATAATATTGACCTTTTTTTCCTGTATCTTTATGAGTTGACTATTGGATTAAAAAAATTGGTACTATATTTTTGTTTATGACATTTATAATTATTTTTATTATATTTGTGAATGTTTTTATTATTGTTGTGGTACTTAAAAATGGTAAAAATAGTTATAACACTAGTCATAAAAATAGTCATAAAAATATTTATAAATGTGGTAAAAATATTTATAAATATAGTAAATATATTATTTACAAAAGTAATTTTTTTTTTGGTATCAAAGAAAAATTGTAGAAAATATCATAATAGATGTGGTAAAAATATTCACAATAATAATAAGAATATTTTTAAAAGTGAAACTAATTATTTTTATTATTAGTTAATGCATATGTGTATTGCATGTGGAGTATTTTAATTACAAATTAAGGTATTCTTTTTCCAAAATTTACAATGAAAGTAAATATAGACAATCTTATGATAGCAGTTAACTCGTGAGTCTATTAACACTTATCAACTCTTTTAGATACATATTTACTAAAAAGTCAATAACATGGTTTGTACTAATTCAAATGCTTGAAATAACAATTAGAAAATGAGGAGATAAATATAAAATAAGTTGTGCAAGTTTCATTTTCATGAGCATGAGCTGAATGCAAACATCTACTTATAAAAAGAGATTCATTTCACAGGCTTTACAAGAGTGAACAAAGAAAGTTGGTTAGCTTTTTTCATAGGTGTTATAATGTCACGCAACCCCATTCTTTGACATGAATTCTTGCATGTGAAATTAGACATAAGGCTCAAAGTCTTGATGTAAGTTTTGTGGTACATGTACTAAGATGTCATTGTAATACATTTCCATTATGTTATAACTATAACGATTTTCTGTGAAGATAAGGACTCCTAAACAATTGAACTACACAAGCTTTACTTGGCTCCTCCTTGGACGATTTCCCATATGGCATTGAGTTCCTGTGAATCTATTAATAATGGCCTACTGTAGTTTCTTGACTCCCCTTTGTATGTTGTCATAACAGAAGGATGAGTAAGTGGAAATTTCACATTGTATTCATAAAGGGATGTTGAAGATATTGCAGCCATTCTAACACCATATGTAGATCATGAACGGATATGGAGTCTAGGTTGCTCCATCAACTAAACAAATTTAGTCTTAACAATGTCTGCAATAGGGTATTCAACCTAGTAACACAAATTTAAGTGCAGAGAACTTTCACTTTTGTCCTCCTAAAAGAGTAGGAAATATGGTTTGATACAAATAGTGCAGACTACCACATTTGCCAAGACCACTTTGAAAGGAATTAAACTACATGTATTCTCAAGCCTCACGTTTACTCCCCATTTGAGGAACAAGAGCAAGAGTGATAACTATTTTGCCAAACATAACTAAGTGATGTTGAAATCCACAGATAATAGCTTTTGCTGCATCAACGCCCCACAAATTTAAAGGAATTAGACCAATAAAATGGATGAGAAACAATGAAAATGCAATTGTGCATGTGCATGTTGTGTAAACATCAATTATAATATTACCTAATGAAAAACTTAGACAAGTTCCATCCAAAATAAGAAAGTTGTCCCACAATGATAATGCAAGCCTTTTATTGTAAACAAGAAGAAAAGATAACATCGTAGATTTCAAAAAAAAAAAAAAAAAAGATTTCATGTCGTCAACCTGAATAATCCAAACAAAATCAACCAAAATAATTTGGGTGTTATACATACAATAATGAAACATAGTGGGCATATAGTGAATAAAAAGAATTCTACTAAATATTCTATTATATAAAATCGCCTTCAATCAAATGAAGATATGCACAACACTGAAATTACCATCAATATGGTAATAAATTCTAGATCAAAAATAGCAAACACAACAAATTAAATAACAAATATTTGATGAATGCTAGCGCAACCAATTCACAATTTGCTCATGAAGATGTAGTTTGCCTTTTTTTTTTTCACTTGAGAAATAAGTTATACTTTAAAAATTAAAATACGTGCCTCGGAATAATAAAATAGAGACTATAAAATGTAGGCTCACAGTAAAAATATAATAGAGAGTGAACAAAAAAAAAATGAGAAGAATAACGCCAGAAATTTCAAGGTCCACAAAAATAATATAAGAAAGAAAGAGCAAAAAGTAGAGGAGAAGAATGAAAATTTTACTCTTCTAATCAAGATTGGGATGTTCTATATTCCTTGGATAACATAAATACTTTTGGGTTACAAACCCATTTTCTTCTAATGCTTTGTAGAATAGAATGGATTGGATGAAGAAAATATATTTGGACATATTTTTGAACACAAAAAATGTAAGGCTTGTGTAGGGGTGCGTTAATGACTAAGCACTTTACTAATAACATTGAAAGGGGCGAGTCAAAACCTACACCTAAAGAGTTTCTAAGTTTGGCTTTAGGGGCTACCTAGTTCGTTGATGTGATTTTGGTTAGAGGTGTCAACTCTGACCCATTGATACGAATCCAACACGAATATTTATAAAATTGACATGATTATTAAATACGCATAATAAATAGTCTAGACTAATATTTAATACTCAGAATACACTAAATAATTTTTTTTTCGTAGATCTTGACTCAAACACGACACGATAACACGACATGTGGGTCACACGAATACGACATGTTTGACACCCCTAATTTTGGTAAATCGATGCATAGATTGAGCCTTCAATGTCCCAAATTTAGCTGAGACTGGATTGAATGCATGTCATTGATGATTGTTTGGTGATAGAAAAAAAATGTTATTTTTTTTTAATTTCACTCATTCATATTCTCAAAATATGCGTTTGATATGAAACAACAAAAAAAAAAAAATGAAAACGGATGGAAAAATACTATATGAGAGTAATTAACATAATATAGTAAAAAAAATATTATTTTTTTATTTCACTCATTCATACTCACAAAATATGCATTTGATACGAAAAAATAAAAAAAATATGAAAAACTATGCGTGGGAAAATAAAATTCAGAATCACGTGTAAGGCTAATTATCTGGTCTAAAATTAGCGCATTGTCTGCCAGATGCAATCGAAGAAGGGGATAAATTCGAGTCACCTCGATTAAAAGAAGAGGACATCTTGCATGAAAATTCAACAAATACTTTAAGACTAGTGGTGTCAAGTTCTTAAAGTCGAAAGATAATCCAAGTAGACCAAAGTCTCCTAGCAAGGGAAAAGAAAGTAAGGGTAAAACTTCTCGACATGAGGTTGAGAAGAAAGGGCATAGTGTGACACCCCTAAAATCGGGGGTCCTTTATCAACCGTTGACCATCTGTCGATCCGCGAAAGTACATGTGATTGTCGCATAACTCGACATCATGCCAATAACATTCCCTTAACCGGGATTATAATCCACACGTGTAACCTGTGTACATTTTTCCATTTAACCCAACCAAGGTCCAATTTACCACAATTCATACTCCCTTATAGTCCATTTACATTATTTGAACAAGGAAACACATATCTCAAAAGTCTGGCCCAACATTCTTAAAATTTTAGATTTTTGGAAAATTTACCGATAGGTTTTTATGGACCTACCGGTAGGTTTTGTCCTTTGTAAAAGTTCTACCGGTGTGTTTTTGTAGACCTACCGATAGGTTTTACCTACTAGAAAAGTTCTACTGGTAGGTTTATGTCCTACTGGTGGGTTTCGTCTGCTGGACAACATTCCACCTGTACAAAGTTCAACCGGTAGGTTTATGTTCTAATGGTAAGTTTTTCCTTTTGGACAGTGTTTTACCAGTAGGTTTTGTCTAGATTTGACTGTTTCACCGATTTTAAATTTCCAATTCATTTCAATCAATCTCCTTTCCATCCAACACATTTTTAGATAATACAAGGACTATACACATTCCATTACATTAATTTCCATAATTTACATGCCAAACTAGGTTTTCATAATAATTT